AATCACAGAATCACAGAATGGCCTGGGTTGCAAAGGAGCACAATGCTCATCCAGCTCCAACCCCCCTGCTGTGTGCAGGTCACCAACCAGCAGCCCAGGCTGCCCAGAGCCACATCCAGCCTGGCCTTGGATGCCTGCAGGGACGGGGCATCCACAGCCTCCTTGGGCAACCTGTTCCAGTGCCTCACCACCCTCTGCGTGAAAAACCTCCTAATATCCCAACGCCCTCCATCTCAGTTTGAAACCATTCCCCTTTGTCCTATCACTATCCACAGATGGGTTTCCGCTGAAGAGTTCCTCGAGCCTGTGCTCATTTTAACTGGTCAGATAGAAAGGCTCATTTTCAGCTTAGGACAGAGCTACTACCTGAGAGGTCAGCTGAAACAACTGCGGATTAAAACACATATTTGGAAACTACCAACTCAGGCCTGTCTGTATCACACAGTGACAGTATGACCACTCTGCAGCCACTCCTCCAGCTTCTCCTGCCGTGGCACCTGCATGGCAAAGGCATTGTGCCCACCTCGCTCACCCTGCACCCTTCCAGCAGCCATGAGATGAGCTGACCTGCTCACCTGCTGACCCATGTGCCCAGAGCTGGAAGTGCTGCTGTGACACTGGTCAGCCCTCTTGCATCGCCTCCTCCAGCAGCAGACTCCTTCCTCTCCTATCATGCAGGCTGACACACGAGCCCCAGGCTTCAGGGTCTGTAATATTAACCAGCAAAGCTCGCTCTTACCGGGGCTAAGAAAGCCTCAGTGCTCACATTCTCCTCCCTCTGCTCTGCTTTTAGTGCACTAGAGGATGCATCTGGTCTCAGCCCTTAAGGTGTCTGCAGGTGGCTGAATGAGAGCTGCCCTACTTCTGAATAAATCCAATCAAGAAACGTGGGTTTTCATTCACCACCACATTCACCATCTGCCCCTCACAGAACCAAAAAAGGTCACAAATTAAAACTGCAAACCTCAAAAGCATCTAAGTTAGTGATTTGATCTGAAACTGGGTAAGGTTTGGATACTATAGCCTGGGCTGTTTGGGAGATCAAACTATGACTTCATCTACCACTTAAAAATCAATTAGCTGCTCGCATCCAGAACGGTGCTGACATCAGCAAAACATACAGCAAGATGGTCAGAGCCTGCACTGTCCCCTTTGTGATGGGAGAGAGTAAAGCAGAAGGGCAGCCTGCAGCTCACACAACATCACACACGCGAGCAGCTGCCCCCTCACCTGGAGTACCAGTGGGTTTTGCTGACCCAAGCTCAATACGGCGGATCAGACCCTGATTTATTTGGCATTGAGAAGATATTTGAGGTTCGCAGAACCAAAGGAAGCTCAGGCACATTGGGGCAGGACGGTTGGGACCAAAGTGAACACAGTTCTGTACTCACATGCTCTAAACATGAGGCCTACTTCAGCCAAGAGTGGGCAGCACAGTGTGCAAGCAGCAGCTCCACCAGCACAGCACAGCCAAAGGGAACACGGGGTGGTGGTACAGATGCAAACACAGGCACACAGTTGGCAATACTTTATGCCATCAGGGAGCACTCTCTTTGCACACCTGATCTCACACACTCTGGATCAGATCCTCACACTGAAGTTTCAGCCAGTTTGCACCATTCTTAACTTGCTCCATGCTGCCCTTCCCTGCCCAGAGCATCCCTGCAGGCAGGATGGGACCAGAGTTACAGAGATGGGGGGGACAGGTTCATTTCTGCACTCCCAATGCAGGGCTTCACCCTGTGTCACTGGGGCAGAGCTGCAGAGGGATGCCAGGGGAGAAAGGAAAGGCAGAGCCACCTTCTCCAGCCACAGTGCCCACAGCACCAAGCCAGCATTTCCCAAAACCACAACTGGAGAGAACAGAATGACACCACAGTCTCCTCCAAGCTGACAGCACAGCAGAAACACTCCCAACTCCCCTCTGTCACACAAAAACTAACACAGCAGCTGACATCTCCTTATGTTTTATAGCTGTGCAGTTTGGCATTCCTGCTCCTAAACAAGAGAATGTTCATTTCCTTCCCAGCGCTCGTGGTGTGGATCCCAACGCCAACACAGCTCATCCAGTTCTCAATGCTGCAGACAGAGGACTCTCCTAGCAAACTACTACGGACCACATTAAAACCCATTCCCATTTTCTAAACGCCCTCCATCTTTTCAACCCTTGATTCCAACGGTGCACAGGCCCTTCTGGATTGTGTTTCTATAAGAATCCCAAGTATTCGGGAATGAGAATGTTAAACTTGCTGCAAAACTCCCGTGAGCAAGCACCTACATAGCACCAGTTGTTCTACCAAGGAGGAAATAGGAACTGCTCATGCACTGTGTGTGTTGCTGTGCACAGTGCCCAGGCAGGGCTGTTTGTTGCACCTGTGTATTGCACTCCACCCTGCTGAGGGTTAAAGAACAGAGGGCTGAACCGCACTTACAACCCCTTATCTGCTCAGATTAGGGTCCTGCAGGGCAGCATCACCACCAAAACCCGCAGAGGCAGAGGCACAAGGAGAGCCAGGCCCAAACGGCCGCATTCTGGTGGCTAAAATGCAACGCCGTACATTGCGCTCAGCCATCTCGGAACACGCTCTGATGGTCAGGCTGCTGAGACAACAGAAATCCCACCAACCCCCCAGGAACGGCGGTGCTCAGCTCCTCACATCGGGCTGTTCGTGGTGATGTCTCCTGGATTCTGGGGGAGAGGCACAGAGCTGTCAGGAGAGAGCTGGGGGGGGGTGATGGAAAGGCTGTGCCCATGAGGGTGGTGGCCATGGAACTCAGGGAGTGCTGGGACACCACCCTCAGCCACAGGGTTTGGGTGGTGCTGTGGGGGCTCAGAGACCCCCATGGGTCCCTTCCAAGTGAGAATCCCCTGTGGCTCTACAACTTGTGCTGCACTTGTCAGCACAAAACATGGCGCTGCTACGACTCATCATCATCACGTCGATCTCCCAAAACAAATGGCCTCCCAGACAAGATGATTTGCTTCATTTTAGCTTAACACTGACACCCAAACCGTCCCATGCTGTGATGTGGCTCAGCTACACCACATCACATTGGTTTCCTCACTGCCCACCGCCCCCAGTGGGACAGAGATGGGTACAACTAGAGTGCACAGCACTGGGGTAACATCACACCATTACCCGCATGGAAGAACAAACCAGCTCAGCCTTTGCTGCAAGACTGTTGGATTTATTACTGTTATTTTAACATTCCCATCCCTGGTTGGAGCCAGATTTGAGGGCACCCATTTTAGAACAAGAGCCGTTTTTGCTAACATGCACCAACTCGTGTTAAAGGAATAAATCCGGTCACCTCTCCTTAGAGCACAGACATGACAGACAGCCTGCAGTGCTGTGACCTGCACTGGCTCTCTGGAAAGCACAAACCAGCCCAGCTGCCCCGGAATGAAGTGAGGAAGTCTGAATGCTTACAGGGTGATGGGAAAGCTGAGGCTGAACAGCCACTCCGAGGCGAGCATGGTTACAGAGGACCTCCTTCCACATCCCCTCATCCTCATTTAGCCCTCCAGGAGCTCTCCCAGCTCAGCGTTGGGTTCTGCTGTACAGATGGTCCCAGCACCGGAGCCATCCTCACACAGCAGCTCTGACACAAGAGGGGATCTGTGCTTCTGCAAACCGACCCACGGGTTTCACCAACCACCCAACACAGGGAATGCTGGCTTTGGGCTCACACACACACAGAAGTGCAGAGGAATGCCATCCCTGTTCGATATCCCATGGGTAGAAACGTGCGTCTGCCAACAGACTGCAGGCAGAGTGAGGAACTGCACTCCTTCCAAGTCCCGAATGCCTGAGACAACTCCAGGGCTGTGAAAACATTTCTCCTTTTTACCTTATTTCCCCTTTTTCCAGCAGTGCAGGGGTGGGATGCTGCCCAGACCCTCTTGAGTGCTCCAGAAGCAAAAAAAGAAGAAACCACACCGCGCTGCCATTATGAGTATCATTTCCAGTGATTTCAGCTAGAACGTTCACAGTGCTCACACACCCATGAACATCTGAGCCAACTGCGCCTCGTCAGGACATGCCGAGGAGTCCGGACGGTCACCTGAATGCGGGGCAGAGCAGTTTCAACGCTTCACACGGAGCGTTAGGAAACGAAATGAGAGTGCGGACACCGCCCGACAGAGCAGCACTGCGGCACGGCCACGTGCGGGGCTTTAATGCGTCTGACGACAAGAGAGCAGATCTTACAGTGCTAAAGCAAGTCGAAAAAGGGGCAGAGCTGCTTAACAAAGGCAGAGGGCAGCGGGAAAGCTCCCACGGAGCAAAAAAAAAGGAAAAAAAAAGAAAAAAAAAATCAAGGAGAACGTTGTAAAACGACACAATAAAGGCGGGCGGGTTGGGAAAGCGGGGGTAAAAAAAAATATGCAGAAACACCAACAATTGACGGGAAAGGAAGTATACGGAGCTGCCGGAAATAAAGAGAGGCAAATAAATAAATAAATGGAAGCTGACGGGTCGCTCCGCAGGAACCCCGCGTGCCTCGCAGCGTGCGGGAACCTCCGAACGGCTCCGGAGCGCTGCGGGCACCGGGGAGCGCTCAGAGCAGCGCCGACACCGCCGCGTCCCGGCCGGGAGGGGCAGCGCCGGGCCGGCAGCGGAGGGCAGAGCGGAGGGCGGCGGGGCGGCCTTAGGAGGAACGCGGCGGCCGCTCCGTCTCCGCCGTCGCGAAGCACGTTGGGGGAAGCCGGAGGATCCCTCGCAGCCGACGGAGCGCGGCCCGAAGGCGCTTCCTAGCCGTCCCGCCGGGTCCCGGCACGGCGGAGCGGCTCGGCCCGTCCGCCCGGCCTCACCCCTCGGGGTCCCCCCGCCGCCACGCCGCGGTTCCCGGCCCCGCGAGGCGCCGTGCTGGCAGCGCGGACAAAGCGGATGCCTCGAATTCCTCCCCACCCCGCAGCGCGGGGCTCCGCCGGGCCGGGTCCGCGGCACCCGTGCGGCGCCCGTCCGCCCTCCGTGCCTCCCCCCTCCACCGCCTCCTACCTGCGGCGGGCCAGGCTTCCGCTGGCGGCCGCCGGGACGGGCCGGGCCGGAGCAGCCGCGGCGCGGAGTTGGGCGGCCGCAGCCCGCGGGGCCGTGCTGGAGCGGCGGGTCCGGGCGCTGACAATGAGAGGCGGCCCCGGCGCCGCTACGTCACCGCGAGGGGAGCGGGGCCCGGCGGGGCGGGGGGCGGGAGCGGCGCCACCGGGCGGGGCGGGGGTCGGGGGCCCGGCGGTCCCGAACCGTCGCGGAGTTTCGCGGCCGCCTCCTCCGGACGATCCGCTCCGTGCGGCGCGGCTTCCGCGGGCTCCGCCGTCGTTGGGAGAAGCGAGGAAGGAGTTTCGGCCATTTTGGGGGAAAGAGGGAGCGGGGCGGCCGGAGGGAACTGCGTGCCGGGAGAGCGAAACGGGACGGAGCGGCGGGCGGCGGAGGGCACCGGGATGGGAACGGGGGAGGCGGGGAGCGGCTCGGGGCCGGAGCTCTGCGGGAGGATGGAGCGGCGGCCCTGGGCCCGTCCGGAGGTGCGGAGCTCCGCGGCCGTCCCGCCGCCGCTGCCCGTCCCGAAGCGGGCGCAGCTCCCGCGGTTTGCAACGCGCCGAGGAAGGAACGTAGGTCGGATGGCACCGGAGCGTGGAGGAAAGTTCATCCTGAAGGGCTGCCCCACAACGTGCCGCCTCTAGCTTGGGACGTGGCGCTGAGCGGAGCGGTCGGTGATTCAGCTGTGGCTGCCTGTGGTATCATAGGATGGCTGGAGATGGAAGAGCCCCTCAAAGGTCCAACTCCCAGCATTGAGTGCAGACACCCACAGCTCCATCAGCGCTCAGAGCCCCTCCAGCCTCACCTTGGGTGTCTGCCCCTATGAGCAGCCCATTCCAGTGCCCCATCACCCTTATTGTAAAGAACTTCATCCTTATATCCAATGCTCTCTTTCAATTTGAAACCATTCCCCCGTCCTATCGCCCTGCTAAAGAGTCTGTCCCCTTTCTTACAGCCCTTTCAGACACTCACAGACCCGTAGGTCTCCCCGCAGCCTTCCCTTCTCCGGCTGCACAGCCCAGCTCTCAGCCTGGCCTCGCAGGGAGGTGTTCCATCCCTGGGAGCATTTTTGTGGCCCTTGTCTGGACGCTCTCCAACAGCTCCACGTCTCTCCTGTCCTGAGGACTTCGCATCTGAGTGCAGTGCTGCAGGTGAGGTCTCAGCACACAGCAGAGGGGCAGATCCCCCGCTTTGGATGCAGCCAGGGTACGGTTGGCTGTGAGCTGCCGTGTCCAGCTGCCATCCATCAGTGCCTCCTTTTGGGCAGGGCTGTGCTCCGTCCTTACATCCCCAGCTCATACTGATGGTGATAGTGTTGCTGTGACCCAGGTGCAGACCTTGCACGTGGTTTTATTGAACCTCATGAGGCTGACTGCAGATGTAAGGGGAATACTGGAACAATCTGACTTGAGGGGAAATAAAGGAGAACTTTATTTTGGAGTGTTTCTCTGAACCAGCATCCAGGTGGTGACTCTAGTGTGAGGAAGAGATGGGAAAACCAGGGAATGACCAACATCGGACATCTGCTGTGACGTGGAAGTGTTGTGCCTGCAGCTGATGGTACCAGGGCTATAGCAACAGAGCTGCAGCTACTGGAGAAAGTATTTTGGAGAACAAAGTTGTGTTACCTGATGTTAGAGAAGCAGAAAGATAGGCCTTAAGAAATTAAATATGATGCATGACCTAAGGGAAATGAAGAGAAATAAGGAAAAGCTAGCTGCCCTTAGGAGCTGTTTTGTGTTGTTTCTCGTTCATGGGGACTTAGTACAGTCAACGGAAGCATTGAGCAAAGGGACAGAAAGGGACAAGTGGAAGTGAGGATGTAACAAAGTGATGGAGGCAGACGCAGCTCTGAGCTGGATGGAGGGGTTGGCAACAAGGGCAACCTGCCAAAAATTAGCAGGAGACAGGAACAATGTGAAGGGAGTACAACTCTGAAGAGTAAAGGGGACAGAAGTGGAGCAAACTACACAGGCTGGGACAGGAAGAGGGGCAGAGGCACAGGGGAGGAGGGGATATGCCTGGGGTTGCTTGCAGGTCTCTTTCTTACCCAGAAAGGCTGCAGGGAGAGTCTTGTCTTCTTATGGTGCCAAGGGTGCAGAATATAAATCATGTGGGCAGATGTGATTAGAGATGAAATGGGGGGGGGGGGGGAGGAGGGAGGGGGAATAATAAACACTCATAAAATTATGAATAATAATGGGGAAGCAACAGGAACTGTCAGCATGTCTGACAGTAGGGGACCGTATGGGTGCAGCAGGCTGGAACAAACAGAAGTAGCTCGTGCTGGTTTTGCACAGCTTGATCACATGAGAAGTGCCTGGCCACGGGATGCCACAGACACCAGAGGCGTAAGCATGGAAAGGGATTACAGAAGCTTACAGAAAACAGATTTCTCTGTGGCTATTAAAAATGTTTCTGAGTCGTCTTCCAGTCCACAAAGTCCATGAAGTGACTTTTCTGCTCTTGCTCTGTATCTGCAATCAGTTTAAATGAGGTGCCTGAGTCAGTCTAACAGCTTGCTGATGGTACGTGCAGTTCTGCTCCTGTCCTCCTGCAGCTATTTGTGAATGTGCTGCTTCTGGTGCACCACTTCTGGCATTCAATCTGTTCATTAAACCAGCGGAAAATGAAAGCAAAGTGAATACTGTTCTGCCAGTTTAGTCAGTTGAATCAGCCCATGGGTTTATGAGCCAGCGGCATCCATCACATCAACATTGCTTGGCTTTGTTGAGCCTCATGATGTTCACCTCGGCCCATTGCTCGGCCTGCCCATGTCCCTCTGGCTGGCTTCCCTTCTATCAGCTGCACCACTCAGCTCAGTGCCATCAGCAGAGTGCTGAGGGCGCACTCAATCCATCGTTGAAGTCATTGGTAAAGATGCTGAAGAGCACCAGTGCTGAGATGGAGCCCTGAGGGACACCACTCCCCACTGATCTCCACCCGCACGTGGAGCCACTGAGCGCCTCTCTCTGGGTGCAATCTTGTTTTTCTATGCAAAGAATTTCTTATAATGGCAGCTGAGATTCTTATGTTATTACCTGATTGCAGGGATTTGGGCTTTAGTCACGGTAAGATCCTGATATTTACTGCACTGGCTTCTAAAAGCTAATGCCATTGGAGGAATGCTTTCTATCATGTTTGAAAGGAGGTGGTGACTGGGGAGAGTTCCTGGTAATTGATAAAGGACAAATGTCTCCAGCTGATGGAATATCCTGCCCTGATATCTAATATCAAAGCAGGGAACATGCTTTGACTTCCATTTAACAAATTCTTCTGTTTTGAATAAATCCTACTTAGTCACAGAAATAACTATCTGCTGGGACAACCGCAGTACATTCTTCTGTTACAAGTTAAAATGTGTTTTACTTTGCCCATGTGCTCAGCATTACAAGAGTTGCATCTGAGAGAATCCTAGAAACCACTCAGCTCTTGTGTCTTCTGTGAGATGAGTTCGTGTGCTCGACTGCGATCCACAGACCCTGAATGACACAGTAAATATGGACATTGATCTCTGACATGACAGCCTCCTCCTCTCAGCTGTGGGCTGTTCCTTATCTTACGTTTACGATGTCAGCGTTGTCCTCTGCCACTTCCATGTTACTGTTTGTTTTCAAATGTGAATTCCTGAAGCGCTCTATCGAATATTTACCGGCATTAAGAATGGTGTGACATTGCACTGCATGCCTTTTTGAATTAGTCCATAGAATAGGCAAAAAATAGCCTACTGCAGGCTTTTGGTATTAGCTTATAATTAGCCTATGATAGGCTGGAGCAATGGGCTGAATGTGTGTGAGGATCACCAAGGCTAAGTGTCAGGTCCTGCACTTGGGTCACACCAAGCCCACACTGTGCTGCAGGATGGTGGAAGAGCGGCTGGAAATTGCTCAACAGAAAAGGACTTAGGGGAGACCTCATTGCTCCCTGCAAATCCCTGAAAGGAGGCTGTGCTGAGGGGGGCTGCGTGCTCCTGGGTGACAGTGATGAGAAGCGATGGCCTTAAGTTGTACCAGGGGAGGTTTATGATAGCTATCAGGAGGAATTTCTTCATGAAAAAGAAGAATTGGAAGAGACTGCCCAGGGGAGTAGTTGAGCCACTGTCCCTGGAGGTATTTAAAAGATGTGCAGATGTGGTGCTTAGGGACAGGGCTTAGTGGTAGACTTGGCAGCACCAGGTTAATGACTGGACTCAATGATCTTTGAGGTTTTTGTCCAACATAATTGATTCCATGATTCTGTAATCGAATCAAAGAAAGGGTTCAGCTCACTTGCTGTCCAATTTAACAGTGTCTTATGAAAGCTTGAAGAACAGTAATGGATCATCTTTCTGTGCTATGATATTTTGCCATTCTATTCAACATCAGAAGTCTTAGATTAAGAGTAGACTTGACAGGAGAAGTACAAAAGCATAATTGATCCAGATGAGGCCATGGGAGCAGACCAGCTCAGAGGACTGTCAGGACCATTATCTATGGTTTTATGATTCATGGTAGTCCTCACATTGGGCAGATGAACCAGCAGGAAAAATGCTGTGGAGACACCTGGGAATTTGCCTTGGCTTTGGGTACTGCTGCCAACTCAGCTCTGTGCAGGAAATGCCAACCCACTACATCAACAACCAAAATACTGTTCTGGGAAGCTTGCTTTTAAACAGTGTCACTCCCCAGATAGTGAAGGACAAAGTTCGCTATTTCAGCTGTTGAAGTAATTCAACAGTTTTTATATTGGGCATAAAATCATCTGATACTTATCAGATAACAGATTTGACCGGGAGTCTTCTGCTCTCCAGCTGTGCTCTGAGTACTGGACCGAATCGTCCAGGTTTGCTTCTCCTTTCCTCCTTCCCCACTTGGTTTGTGTATGTATGAAGACAAAATGTTCCAGCCAGGAACTATCACAGGGCTGGGGAAAGTTGAGCAGCTCATCATTATCCAGCAGTTATAAGAAGGATGGCAGATGGGGGGTTTCCAGGCGTCCTTCTGAATGTTGGAAAGAAACAAAGGACTCTTTGGAAAGGACACCTTGACAGAAGGTTGAAGCTCAGAATGGCTCAGAACATTGGTATGGAAGCAGAGAAAATACCTCTCAATACACAGAGATTAAATGAACAGGAAGCTTCTTGCAGGATTCCTTAGGACACGCGTTTCCAAATATCCCGTTTTCCATTTGCTCACTGGTCTTTAATCCATTTAAGCTCTCATCTTCAGGACTGTTAGCAATAATGAAGGAATCTCAACCCACTGACCACTGAGAACCAACTATGAAGGTAAAGCAGAGTAATATTTGCCCACGTAGCAGGCATAGACTATGACATCCCCTCCTCATCACTGTGAGCAATTTCTTCCTTATACTTCACATCCACCCCAACAACCTTAATATCGAAGAAAGTTTTTCTTGATATTTCACTTCATTCTTTCCAAATTCCCTGATCTCTTGTCTTACCTCTATGATTATGGAGAACAGATTATTTACTACTTCTGGCCAGTTGTCTTTTCCCTATCTGAAGTCTTCAGTTTTCACTCACTCACATCTTTCATCCCCAAAGGCTCACAGTATCCATGCATCACTTGAAGACTCTCAATTCTCACAAAGGCTGAAAAAACAAAAAGCTTTTTCCTGGCTCAATCTTAAGCACGCAGTTGCTTCCTAAGGGAGCCTGAGTGCCCAGGAATTAGACACAGCAACATTCAGCTGTCTTTGCTGAATTTACCTTCACTTTCTATGGCTATGGAATAAACATTACCAGAACCAACAACTGGTCCTGGCTCCATTCTGAGGTCCCAATCATTCCACATTGACACTGAACATATTTTGTTTCATTTTGGGCATGCAAAAAAACCCCAAAAAAACAACAACAACAACAACAAAAAAAACCCAAAACAACACAAATGTAAGAGCGAGGTGCTTTTCAGTAATGTTCATGCTATTTATTTTGTAGTATTTCTGCACTGGCTATTGCACACATGATCAAATGTGTAAAAATGATTGCCAACAGTATGTCTTCTTTCTGCAGTTTACCAAAATTGCAGCTTCAAATTCACATTTGTGAAGTGCCCAGAGAACTCACATGCTTGCTACATCTTCATGCCCTGCTGCCTGCACTCAGGCTGCCTCCTGTTTTCTGCCAAAGCTGCTAGTTTTATCAGTTGCAGATGGACAGGTATGTGCCACAGGAAATGCAGGTGGCTAGGTCCCATTCTCCAGAAACCTTCTAAGCCTTCATGAAATGCTGGTAATACACAGCAGAAGTACTGAAGTCCTCCAAATATGCATAAGCTTTCCTCCCATCAGGTTACAAAGACATGACAGACTTGGCAGCATGTGCCATCTTATTCTAAATGTCGCTCTGACAGTACTGCCTCCTATTTCTGTCTGCAGAAACTGGAACAGATGCAAAGAGTACAGCAGTACTGCTTGATAGAGCAAATTCTCAGCTACAGAACACTATTTTTCAGTATATCCACCACCATTAGCTGTGCATTTTCACCAGCAATGAACAAGAGCTGCATGCCACACTCTAAAAATCTGTGTGGCTGTATCCAGAATGCAACTCAACTGTTTCATCACTGTCACCTCTGTTGAAATGCACCATTCACTGCCTCACATCCACTGCTGGGTCTCCAGAAACGTTCCAAAGTGTTGATGAATGTCAATGGATGCCATTTTTTCCTGCATGGAGGAATTCAGTGACACACCTTTGCTATATACACACTTCTGTTTCAGACACCGTTTGTCAGACTGCTGCCACAAGTCATGCAGCAGCAATATGTAATGGGATATTGGCAGGAAGGTTCAACTTCTACTGCCATCCCACCAACACCCACCTCTGGCGTTGTGGGCCAACACTACAAACCAGGAGGCATTACTTTCAGAGCAGCCCTGCACAAACTCAGCTTTCTGTTCAGTCTTTCACCTGTTGCAAACTTTACTTCATCTGTTGATATTACGCATACAAATGATCACTGCAGAGACCACAGACAAGTTATCTTATGGTATATAGAGTCCCAGACAGAGAGAACCAAACTTGCCAAACCAAACAGAGACGTTCCCTGTTCCATGCACAGCACAGGGATGGAGATCACCACTCTGCACCCAGGAATCAAAGCACAAAAAATCTCAGGAGAGGCTGCAAGATTGTGCAAAGCTCAGTAATGCAACAGTAGAGGATCAAGACGAGCACTTTTTGAAATGTATTAGTTTTTGGAAAGCCTGTTTAAATTCTTCATTAAAAGCTGTATAAATGACGGGATTGATTAATGAGTTTAAGTAACCTAACCACGTAAAAAAGTCCAACAGGATGGGATGAAACCAACATGCATCCTGGCAGATGGGCAGGACAAGGGACATGACAAAGAACGGCAGCCAGCAGAAAATGAAAGCTCCTAGAATAATTCCTAAAGTTTTGGTGGCTTTCCTTTCTCTCGCAGCAGAAATTCTTTTCCTCTCCAGAATACTATCTGCAAGTTTTATCTGAACGTGATTGATAAATATTGGGGATCCACCAGAATGGGAATGCCCTTCGTGAAGGCTTGCGTTAATGGAGCAGAGGGAAGACCCAGCAGAGCCAGTTATCAGGTGTGCAGTAGTGAATCGTTTCCCATACAGTGAGGGTGGCTTCAGGATCCTGGATCGAGCTGCTACATAAATTCTACCATATAATATCAGGAGGAGCACAGTCGGAATGTAGAAAGCTCCACAAGTGGAATAAATGGTGTAGGAAATCTGATCTGTGTTCACATTACACTTTGCGATTTCTTCGTGAGCTTTCACTTGCCTCCAAAAAAACGGTGGCACAGAAATACTAATGGAGATCATCCAAACCACTGCGATCATGAGCATTGCTCGGCCAGCAGTCCGGCGTTTGGCATATTCCAAAGCATCTGTGATAGCCCAGTATCTGTCCAGTGCAATAACACAGAGGTGTAGGATTGAGGCTGTGCAGCACGTGATGTCTGATGATAACCAGATATCACACAGCACCTGGCCAAAGGCCCACGTGTGGGTGACAGTGTAAGCGATACTGATGGGCATCACGAGGACGGACACTAAAAGATCTGTTACTGCCAAGGAGCCAATGAGGTAATTTGCAGGTGTGTGGAGCTTTCTAGTAAAAAAAATTGTAATAACAACAAAAATGTTTGCAAGGATCGTTGCCAAAGTTATGACAGACAGAAGGACTGACAGGGATATCTTCAGCCCTAATAATGTCCTTTCATCCAAAGCCAGCGGTGGTTCAGTAAAATTTAATGACTTATTTGCTGAGCTCTGGAGAGAGAGCTCTGTCGAAAGGTTATACTGAGTCATCCTCTGAACTGATTTCAGTTTTCAATGTAATCCTTCCAGGATGATGAAGAAAGATGCTCACCTTTTTGCTGAATTACAACTTCTCATACTGGAGCCCAACACTGAAGAAAAACCAACTTGTTGAAAACAGCAGCTGCATAAATCATTACTGGAAAGTGAGAGGGTGCAATAGAAACATCTGGGCATGTGACCTATGCCCCAACATTCGGGACAAAGCTATCCTCAAAAGTATTTTCACTTCCACTCTAACATCTGAATGTCCCACTTCTGGTATTTATGAAGATCTCTCCTGGTAGAGTACCCAAGAGATAATACAACACTGCCTGGATTCCTGATGTAAACCTGATTTCTGCCCGATTTGTAGATCAGAACCTGCTTCCAAACGGCGCAGAGCTCAGTTCTCGTTTATTCCTCCAGATCATTCTGGCTTTCTCTTCAACAAACATCCAGTCTTCAAATGCTGTTTTGGGAACCAGTTCTCAATGCATCGGTGCTGAAGCTCGCAGCATGTTCCATGTACTGAGATGCTCCTGGTCTCGCACACGGTGAACGACTGCAATGACTGGTGGTGCTTCCCTCGACAGAGGAAGAGTGGGGCTGGTTAAGGGGATCTGCAAAAAGAAAGTGAATGTTTTAGCCCACAGTGGTGATAGGATGTGTGGAAGTTGAACTGTGACAGTACACAAACAAACAACAGACTTTCTGTACATTTCTTTAGATTTCCTTCATGTAACTGAAATCTTTACGAACCTGAAGAGAACATCCTAGGGCAGATTTCCTTGAGATCTTTTGGTCAGACCCACCCACGAGTACCAGAACATCACTTACTTATGGCAGCCCATGCTTTCTTGACAGAGATTCCAAATGTAGGTCATGAACAGTTCTAAAGCACATCCCCAGGACTAACAACAGAGACGCTGAACTCCACAATCAAAACCCCCAGACCGGCTTCCTCCCAGCCACGGAGCTGAAATGCCTCCAACAGCAATAACTTGCACAGCTTCACAGCCTTTGACAAAGAACTGAGACTCACGTGGTGAGGAATCTGTAGAGCAAGAGCGTCCATCCTACGTGAAACACCAATGTGTCAAACAGCTTCTCTTGAGCTCCTAACACTGCACAGTGCTTCTGGTTTTCTGTGATTTTTTTTTGGTAAATGCCCACCTTCTGTGATTCAAAGTTACTTTCAGTGATGCTGTTTCTTTGTAGGTGTATTTTTTCAATAAGGGACCAAGAAGAGTTGCATATTTCATAGTAAGCTATGACTCTCTTCAACCAGCTGTTCTTCTTAATGTCCATTTTTGTGACTGGGCAAAGGTTTAATGCATGGTGTGCAACCTGTTGGCTTGCCTAGGCTGCATATAGGTATGCTGCTCTAAAAGTAATGCCTCCTATTCATTTCAGTGAAAAATACAACAGCAACATTGAGCTCAGTAAGTCTGTTTGATAAACCAAATTCTTATCTACAGAACACTATTTTTCATTACAGAGGTGACCCTCTGTTGTTGTCAGCACTGCTGAAACTCATCACCCACCCTCACTGTGCTCACATCCTCTGTTTGGTCTCCATAAACGCCCACAGGCATCAATGAATGTCAGTGTGTCCAACTTTTTCTGTAGGGAGGAATTCAATGACACACCTTTGCTCCATGTGCCCTTCCATGTCAGACACCATAGTGTCAGTGTGCCCCTCTGCTGCCAGCTGTCACACAGCAACAAAGCATAACAGGATATTGGTGGGAAGGTTCAACCTCTACTTCTGTACCACAAACATCCAACTCCGACATCACGGACCATAAAACAGGAGGCATTATTTTCAGAGCAGCCCTCATAAAATAGATAATATAGTTGATGTATATAATTAACAAAACTTATTTTAACTGTTATTATTGTTACTAAAACATAAGAAAGAAAGAGAGCAACAGCACCATAAGACCAGTGGGATGTGTGACCTCGTACTGTGAAACCAATGCATCAGTGCCTGGTTTGATGGCAGTGGCTGCAGCTCTCAGCTCTCATGGTGTTGTCAGAGAATTTTTTTAAGGAAATTTTACTCCTCCTGTGTTTCATCTTTAAAAACAGTTGTTCACAAATGTCGTCGCCTTTTGGCAGGATGTACAAGAATGAGGCATGATTGTGAAGTGTTGGATAATTTTCTCTGAACACAAGAATGGACGTGGCAAACAGAGCCCAAGAAAACCAGTGATCTGACTCCAACTGCAGCCAATACATTCAGCTCAACCCTGTGGCCCTTTTCTGACACAGTGTTGAAGATGTGGGTACAGCACAGATGAACATACAGCATTAACAGTCTTTCCTGTTCTCAATTTCTTTCCTAGCAATTCCCAAGAGTTGTTTTTTTCCATCATCACAAACCACCAATCTGTCATTTCCACTAAACAGTCCCAATTAATATAATTGCAAAGGCATGAGTGGTAACATCAGCATTTCTTTTTCCTGAATGCTCACTTTTTGCATCTCCCTGTACTGAACTCCTTCTCCCATGCTTTACCTGACATCCTTTGCAACTCTGCACAGTCAGTCCTTCTTTTAAATACTTAGAAAGCTTTGTCTCACCTTGGTCCTCACACTCTCCAGATCACTGGTAGTCTGAGCTTTCCTTATTTACCTTCTTTAAGGATCTCTGGCCAAGAACCTCACCCAAAATCTCTTGAGAAATCCAAGTAATTGCATCAATTGGACATCAACCAATCCATACACTCCACAACTTCACTCAATGGCTTTGTGAGGCAAACTAACCTCTACAAAAGCCATTTTTACTGTTCCCCAGAAGACAGTATTTACTGTATGTACAGTAATTGCAGTGTTTATGATATTTTCTGCAAAGCAGCCAAGTACAGACTTCAGGTTTACGAATACACAGTTACCCACCAGGTCTCTTTGGGAACAACGTCACAGCAGCTGTCTTACAGTTGGTGGGTGTAAAGGAGTTTTAAGTATTTTAAATAGAGGTTGAACACCCTTCTTGATCCCGTTGTACCTCGGATCCTGAGTTGCACTGAGCTCTTTGGCTTACAGCTACCTGATTGTGAAGATTTGTTATTCGTTTTGGCCAGAAATAAATGTTCCATTTGAAAACTTACCCTGGATTCTCTTCATCAGACAGGGATGCTAAGTGTCAACCTAGTTTCTCTGTGATTATTTTCCTTTCTGTTCTTGATTTCTTTTTTATTTCCCTATTACCATCCCTTTGATTCTCTGACTCAATAGCTCATTTCAGAGCTGTTGCTTTTAGAGCCTAAGAAATCTCTTTACCTGAACACCAGGCTGATCGCACATCCCACACAGGAGAAAACCTAAACCAGAAATATGAGACAGAATGATTAGCAATATTCATTTTTGTCCCCTACTTAGAACTTTACCTTGGGTATTCACTGTGCTGACATGCAGACATATTCCCTATGTGATAAATGATCACCAGGGACTACAGACTTCTGCAAAACAATCAGTCAAAATATTTTTTCCCTAAGAAGCAGTAAAGTGCCGCAGCAGGGTATAATGTGCAGAACTGGAAAATATTTTTGTAATATTCTAAATAAACAAACACTCACTGTGTAGCACCTGAACAGAAGCGTGATCCAGTGCAGTCAGTCACGAGCTCCACAAAACTGACAGGCAGAGCCCTGGGGTACCAGCGTGGTCAAACAGGATGGCCATAAAGCTCTGGTAAAACTCACAGCCTTGCTATAGCAAAGATTTATGCATTTGTTTAATAATATAACCTCACATACTATCACTGAATGTTAAATTCAGTGCACTGCTAAGAACATGCACGCACGTATCTTTCGGAATCAGGGACTCTAAATCTACTTTTAGAAGCTCTTTTGAACATAATTCCCTGTGATGCCAATTTTAGAGACTTTATGCTTAGTTTGTGTGAGTTGACAGTCAATACTGCTGATATAAAAAAATGTGGTGATGGTATTACCATTAAAATGAATATATTAGTATGTGAAAAACAGAAGTTATCATCAAGCTATAGTGAATGTCTTTCCAATGGTTTAATATTTAAGTTACCTTTTATTCAACTAAGGGAAAATTCTGAATAGAGACAACTGAATTTCCTGTTGAAAAACAGAAAGAAAAAATGAGTTTTCTTAAACTGCACACATTGGATTTAAAAAAATCTAGAGCAATCACTAAATTAAACAACACAGTCAACTTCAAGGTCAAACATGTAGCTACTTATAAAGGAAAAAAAGAACACAAATGCATTTATAAGAGCTGTACATCCTGGAATACTGTGAGCCCACGTGGCACATTCAGCTGAGAGCAATCTTCCAGTGGGACGTGTTGCTTACATAGGGCTTAAATGGCCTCTGGAGCAGAAGAGAAGCAGTGGGTAGAAACAGGAGTTGTTACCATCTCTAGATAGCATTCTTGTCTCCACTACGTGCAGTTTCACAGTCTGGGTAGCACGTGAAGTTATGTTTGCAGTGCTGAGTGCAGCAGCCACGGCGGTTCCTCTGCTTTGGTCTCTACCAGGCAGGACTCAGTGTGTTTTCATTCACCACTCTCAAGATGGAAACCCTCTTGGATGAGGGTTCTTTGGTCACCCTCACGTGTCACCTGGTGCCCTTGGCCATGGGATGTGGGTATTTTTTCAGTTCCAGGTGCCTGAAGGGAAGGTGGTATCACAACATACCATGGCAGCAGGTAGATCAGGGCTGCCCTCTGCAACTGCCTCTCTCCTTCACCAGAGCCATGACCCGTGACGACTGCATCCCTCGTTCATCCACCTCCAAAAGCACTGCACACTGCACAGGGAGGGACCTTTCGCTCAGGTCCTTCAGCCACACATTCACTGGTTTCTAGGAAGATCCAGGAGGTGTGTAAGAATCCTTTGGTATCCTGGAAAGATTTGAGGAATTCTTTTTAGTTCCTTCCCAGAGGAAAAAAAAAAAAATACTTAAACGGAGAGACAGTTTTAGGCAGTGTGCTGTTATTTAACTTAACAGGCAAAGGGTGAGCACAGTTCATGGAACTGAAGGTGAAGAGATGTACACATTCAGAGTGAAAAAACATTTTGGCTGTCATCAATAATATTAATAATAGTGTTATCATAACCCGAGGTGCTTACCTAAAGCCAGGCAGCTTTGTAAAGGCGCTTTGTGCTTCAGCTCTGTGGTTGAAGTAGGGAATGGAGTAGCAATGGGAAAGCAGCAAGGCAGGGCTGTGCTTCTGGTGAAGCTCCACGCTTCACCATGTCACATGACTGTGACAGAGTGCCATCGTGTGGACACCGCACACCTCAGCTGCAGCCCAGCACGGCGGATGGGGAAGATATGAAGATTTCAGTGCAACCAAAGTCACACATTCCTGTCTGTTCAGAATCTGGCTGCCATTTCTAGAGAACAGGATGCTTTTTGCTGAGAACAACCTTATGGTGCAGCCAACAACAGCTTCTGAGAATGCTCAGGGGCAAAGAGAATGCTTTGGTGTGACCATGCAGATCTGGCTGGAGCAAGGCAAAAAGTGCATGAAAAAATAGACTGAAATGGAAATACAGACTTTGCTCTTTCAATGAATGGAGCAGGGGGAAAAAATAAAGGGAACAAGGCGAAACATCTTTTAAGACATTGAAAAATGTTTCCTTTGACTTCAGGCTAAACTCAGAGGAATTAGAGTTCATTCCTTCCCCTGTAGCTGGGTAACAACACAAGGAATTGCAAAGGGATGGCTGAGAACAGAGCTACGCTTCAGGAGACGACAGAAAATCCATTTGCTCTTCTGTCTTTTCATATCTGGGTTTAGTTTTTCATGTAAATGTTGAATCTTGCCAAAATAAACGAGGTTGCTTTTGTCATACTGAAAACTGGTCAAGCAACGGAGACACAGCGCGACCCAGCAAACAGCAGATGGCACTCCTAGCAATAACAGCACACTTAAAAGAGACATTCACAGGAGAAGTCAAAAGAGGGAGCAATTTCTGAGCCAGTTCTTGTAGATTTGGGACAACTGACTCCAGTAAATAGCATCCGAGTGCTTGCAGAGTGCTGCTTTGAGACCAGATCCCAACACCTGCTCAAGAAGCTTTAGAAATTGCCAGTCCATAGACCATAGTTAAAGCAGGATGCAGCTTCTGGGAGAAAGCAATCCCACAATGTACTGCACAGAAAACTCAGGGTCTGTGTGAAAGTTAAAGCTTCATAGCATCAGTAAAATGGGGTCTGACTGTACGGTCTGCATGCCTTGGTGTGAAGGACTGAGTGTGCCTCAAAAGTAACAGTAACCAAACTAGAATCCTGGCTCTGGATTAAACTGTCTGAAATGCATACAGGAAAGAATAACATTTTGCAGAAGCTGTAGATGAGAGAGAATAAACCTGACAAGAAAATAACAGGCACATGTACCTTGCACAATAAGTAGGATTAGGCAGCACGGCATACTGGAATGGCTGCCACACTGCCAGCGTAAAGGAGGAAGATGAACAAGTAGGGGAAGGGATAGTTTAAGAGCAGCAATGTGAGTGCTGTTATTTGCTATCCAAGGCACATGAGCTAGTGAACCAGTGAATGAGCAGTTTGCACCTTGCAAAGAAAGGAATCTAGAATGGAATAAGCACGTTCATGTGATGAGGAGCTGCTTTCAACATTGGGTACAACAACAAAACTAAGAGCAAAACAAAAGCAACCTGCAAACGTGTCCCTGGGAGAGAGGAATGAGCACAACTGCAATTACTCATTTGTTTTCCACTCAAGCATGGATCATAAGCTTGAGTGGACCACAGGAACCTGATTCGCTCCCCATCAGGGACGTGTGTTAGCAGAATTAGTGATTAAAACTTCTTTAGACACGGAGCTCAATCAACAGGAGGATAGTTTGCACCTGAATTTCTCATGTGTTGAGGGAGCAGCATGCAGTGCTACTGGCTAAACTGGTTATTCTGATTATTCAGGATGTTTCTGAGATCTCAGGAGTACTCTGTTGGCATCAACACCAAATTACTTTATACTATTTGCATACACTGCCATATCCTGCAAGCAGAAGCCATAGCTAGTTTGCACCTCCCTGACCTTTTTTCTTGCTCTAAGATGACTTCCTCAGCATTTCTTAATTCAGCATGCTGTTGCACAGGCACACAGGTTTTAATATTTCACTCAGCTGTCAAGGAAATACCAACATTTTCTCTCTCCTGTCTATACACACACAAGCTATCCAAGCCACCACCACTACACCTTGCGACTCAACGTGCCTTATGAGGGGGCTTTGGGCAACCTGATGTAGTGAGAGATGTCTCTGCCCATTACCAGGGTTGGAATAAAGGCTCTTTCCATCCCAAATCATGTAATAATCACCATAATTGGTTCTGCAATAATCACAAAGAAAGGCTAAGAAATTAGCAAGCAGTGATGCTGGTAGATGCTGTAGCACAGAAACATCCTCTACAGTACATCACCAAGAGCTTCTTAGGAGGAAGCAGGAGCCAGAACACTTAGTTCTGAGAGCATTACCTGAACTCCATCAGCCTTGCAGTCTCTGATCACAAACACAAAATGCAAAACCTCCAATTAATAATTTTCTTCCTCAAATTTTCATTCCCATTATTCCTCAACGTCGTATCAGGAGTGGAATTGTGAGGGCTGATGAGATACGGTGCAGTGTGAGATTAAATGTGACAAATGAGATTCACACCACTGAACAGAGCACATCACAGACATCAGTCCATCACTTGTCTTCAGTTAACTCATGGGAGGAAAGATCATATTGGTGCATACTAAGTCACGAATCCGATTTCTCTCCTGTAAGGGAATTTCAGACCATTACTCAGATGTAGGTGAGGGACTTCCAAGCACATTTGGGTAACCAAACCTCCCTATGAAGCCCAGCACATCAGCACATAGAGATGAGGTTCTGTGAGCCCATGCCCCAAAGGAGCCCACAATTCTTCTCTTCACACCTGATGGGATTCATCACCAGAGGTATCCTGAGCCAACACACTGAATTCCATTTAGGAAAGGATGGTGTGTCACTGTGACAACATCCTTTAGATGATGTCTAGACTTTAGACTATTCTGAAATACAGAATTTTCCCCACGTATTTAATGGTGCTCTATTCCCTTCACTTGTAAGTCTGCAAGGTGTTCATTCAGTGGAAGCAATGGGAATTAGGCTAACACAGAGTGCTCTGAAAAAGACCATGGCATCCAAAGGAATCAGTGCTTGAGCACTGGCCCTCTGAAAATCAGCTGTAGTCTATAATGCTGGAAAGAGATATAAAAGAGAAAAAACTCTTGCAGATTCCACCCAAACTGTCTGTGCTCAGTTCAGCAGTGTGCTGTGCTTTGCAGAGCATCTGATGATGCTTTATTTAATCTGATTTCAGTTTGTGCAGCCATTCCCATGAGACTCCAATTCTGAGCATGGGGTCCACTGGGATTTTTCAGGCCATCCACACGCACTGAGTTTCACCTTTATGCTTCAGCCATTTTTCCTTGCCTGTCTTCTTTTGCAATCCAGTATCCTACAGCTTTGCCTGCAGAAGCATCTGAAAGGCACTGGGTGATGTCCCACTATCTGCAGTCATGACTTAAAAACACAAGGAATGATAGTAAAAACATTAAGGTTGGAAACAACCTCTAAGATCATCCAGTCCAACCATCCAAGTACCACCAACCTTGCCCACTAAGCCATGTCCCTACATACCACATTCCCAAGGTTCTTGAACGCCTGCAGAGACAGTGATTCTACCACCTCCCTGGGCAGCCTGTTTGATAACAGCAGAATGATGGCAGAATTGATAAGCCTAACTATGAACAATTAATCAGAGCATCCTTGTGCCCCTTGCTCCTCATCTCCCCCCATATCGCCAACTTAGGGAATGAGGTGGCTTCAGAAGGCAGCACACTGACCACTCATGCAGCAATTCCCCACCTGGTAAATAAAGTCAATAGGCACATTTGCAGAAGTATGGCCTTACACTTCCTGGAAGAAGCATTCATTCACCTTGTACCTCCTTACCCTCTGTCCCGGAGGCAATTCAGGAAGAAAATGGGATCAGCATTTTGGCTGAATGCCCTCATCTGGAGCACGCAGCCAGAGAGCA